CCATCATGAAATGAACAAATCTGAGAGAGGTCTACCCAATAATACATCAAGTATCAAAACATTCAGGCTTGTAGTTTTCAAGAAGAAGTCGAAAAAGTAAAAACATTGACACGGACGACGGACAATCACTCATATGATAAGCTTCACTCAACAAAGTCGACAGCGGAGCTAAAAATATTAAGATTAACTTACAATGGATTTCTTGTGTCGGGGATATCCCGATCATAAGAAAGTTTATCACTTTCCACCTGGTTGAATTTATTTCTTGCATAGGCATCTTGTCCAGTCTGGACAACAGTTTTGGAAATATATGCTTTATCATCAAAGTTTTTATATCTTTTATCAGGTCTTATATCCCAATATAAAGTCTGAGAATTTTTGTCAACATTCAAAGAATCCGGTATATGTTTATCTTCACGTGAGTTTCCACCAGCTTGTAAAGCAAGAAATTTTAGCCTTCTTTCTTCATGGCTCTGTAATTCAAGATAAAATACAGAAATTATTAAAACACAACTACATGTACACAATCAGTTTTCAGGCAACTCCATGTTCAAAGTACCAAAAAGAGAAAGCTTAGAAAGACTTTGTGTGTACTTATGGTATGGAAGCCATATTTTGAAAACAGAGAATATTCGACAGCGTACATACTTTGAGGTATCTTTGTAATAACCTTATTAATATACATCTTTTCCTTCCAGGAATACATCATGAGAATTCCAAAATCAAAAATGTTTGGAACAGAATCAGCAAATTGACCAAAAATTACAAAAATATTCATCAAAATTAGAGATATCACGAAATGAACAAATCTAAGAGAGGTCTGCTCAAGGTACACATATATACCTTTTCAAGAAGAAGTCAATCTCTCAAATGATAAACTCTGCTCGACAAAGTTGACAGCGAAGCTAAAAGGGGATGTTTAAATAGAGATATTTAAATATATTATGAGTTCAAGAGAAGACATTTTACTTCAGTATTATTATATGTAACATTTTATTGCTGTCAACCAATGGAAACTATTTCTAAAGATGCAATAAATTTATTATTATTACAATGTATTATATTAATATTATTATACACAGAAAGAGTAACTGTGAAGACTTCCATTGTGTGCGTTGCATTTTTCACCCATCTGAAGTGAATTCACATTACTGTGGAATACTTTATTTTCGCTGGAATTAATTTTCGCTGAAAAGGCTTTTTGGGCGTTTTGCTTGGAATTTATTTTCACTGATTTTTGATGAGTTTAATGTGAAATAAAGGAAAAAAAGTATATTCTCTGGATTTTATTTTCACGGAATCATCCCTTCAGCGAAAATAAAAACCAAGCGAAAATAAAGTATTCTACAGTATATAAATAATGAATCTGATGAGAATCTAGCGAGTCTAAACACCTGTGTGATACAAGTGCACTCATTTCAGTGCATCGTTTATGTCAATAATAGCAACTACTCAACTTACTTAGCACATACTAGTAGTTTTCTAGCTGCTAGCACAAGATCTCATCTTAAAGCTAATCTCACTGCCTGTACAGCTTGGATTACACTGTATTATTTACTATTTACAACACACATATTGATAATTGTTAAAGTTTCATGGGTGAAAAGATGGGTGGGCGGGTATACATTCAGGCATCAAACATACTGTGTTTATCACATACACTAAACATACTACAGTAAAACCTGATTAAATTAACTGCATTGTCTAGTCCTATCTCCACAGCACAGCACTATAAATTACTCAGAATTTTCCATAACTGCAATTTGGTCTTGTAGGATATATCGGTAGGTTGTACTTCTATTAGAAAGGTACATGATTGTATAAAGAAGATTCTACTAGCAGTTGATTCAGACATCTATAAACTGAACAATGTTTCTCTAAGCAGTCGATTCAGACTTCTTTAAACTGAACAATGTCCCTCTAGTAGTTGATTCAGACCTCTAAACTGAACAATGTCCCTCTAGTAGTCAGTTCATTTAGATTTCACTGCAAAACATTTTTACATCAACATTACATGTTAAAAAAACATTTGGATCAATTAAATCATGTATACAGGAAGTGCATCTAAACATACAAATACATGTACTGGTATGTATAAAAAAACAATGTGAGCTTTCAATCATAAAACATGCTTCAACCTGTCCAACAGAACTTCACTCAATAAAAATCAAAGAAAGCTTAGAAAGAACTCCCATGTGCTGAGAGTATTGGCGACACATTAAATATAATTTGAAATTACTTAGCTGAAAACTAATTATGCAAATCAGAAAATTAATATGAACAGATTTGAGTGTAAAACTAATGAGGTCTGCGCAATGTAACAGAAAATCTATGTACCAAGTTTAATTGAAATGTGATTAGAACCAAAAAATTATGAATTATTATGCTAATTAGGGAAATAATATGAACAGAGTTTTACCCCAAACTAATTAGGTTTGTACATTGTCCTAGAGCATCTTTGTACTAAGTTTCATTGAAAAGGAATAATTAGTACTTTAGATATCAGTGTCAAAGCTTAAAAATGGTTAATTATGCAAATTAGGTAATTAAGATGTACAGATTTTAACCCACAATTATCCAGGTCTGTCTATTGTCCTACAGCATCCATGTACAAACATTCATTGATATGTGATGATTAGTA